GGTCATCATATTTTTTCTTAACAATAAATATAGGACTATCGTAAACTTTCTTTAGTTCAAAGTCTAGAAAAGTAGAGAGGGATGTTCTTGAACGTCTGGGATGAATCACTTGGACTTAAAATCTGTATCCTTGAAAGACGTTTTGTAAAAAACGAGTCTAAGTGATTTTTCTCCACCCTAATTATTGAAGCATCGGCGATTTTAAAAGTTTCACCCAGTGTGTTTTTTTGAAATTTTATGGTAGCGTGTTCATTTAAATGCTTTAAGTCAAAAAACCCACGTGAGACAACTCTATTACCTTAAAAGGATAGCCGGTTTTTTGGATGTTTGTGCCGTAGCTGCATACTGAGATGGTGTGTAAATAGGGCCAGATTTAAGAGCTCTCTTGACGCTTTTTTCAATTAAGCAATGGACATTATCGTCTTCATTTTGGGTGTGTCCAGTAACAAGGTATTTATGAGTAATTGCCTAAATTTATAATTAGCCACAGCATAAAGGTAAGCTGCAATGATGAATTTGTTTTTTGTTGGTCTGTGCAATTATCGGAATAGAACATATAGCAGCTTTTTCTTTCAAATAATGCAAGAGGCAAGTGCCTATTTCAACTACCCCTCTCTTACCCTGACCTTCGTGCCACATGTAACAATTTATTAATCCTTGCACCTTTGATGTAAGATCCGACACAGTAAAATTGTAGGTGGACAGGTTTGATATATAGAGTAGAAAAAGGACACTTGTCCATTTGGTGTCGGTAGAAAGGCTAGCAAATCAAAATATGCTACCTGGTATGAAGAAGTAGTACTCTTTTTGTCGTTTTTCTTTTCTTCTCTGCTTAAACTTTTCTCCTCGATGTGGGTGTTACGTTCCTCCTCTAACTTTTTCTTTTCTTCTTCTGTTGAATTTTCATAGAATATGCAGGCTTGGCACTGATCCTTTTTACTTTCCTATCTGTATACAGATATAAGGAAAGTATAGGAATCATGATTTTTTTCGACCTCGAGTTTTCGACGGATTTTTACGTTTTGAGGTCCCCTGAATCCGTTTTGACTATTTTCGCGATGATGTCTGTGTGTGTGTGTGTGTGTGTGTGTGTGTGTGTGTGTGTCTGTGTGTGTGTGTGTGTGTGTGTGTGTGTGTGTGTGTGTGTGTGTGTGTCTGTATAACGCATAACTCATGAACCGATACACAGAAAAACACCAAATTTTAAACTTAAGCTTTGTTTCAGCGTCTAATGAGCTGATTAGATTTTGGGCAGAGTCGGAACATTTGGGGGGGTACTTTATAGGTGGTCATTTTTATATTTTATGGAATATATCTGTTATTTACGTTTGGAGAAGAAAATTCTTTAAATAAAAGTTACTTCTAATATTATTATCTATAATTTTTGTTCTATACAAAATTTTCCTAAAATGGTCCGTATTCGAGATATTTGAGAAAATGTGTAAATTTCGAATTTTGAAGAAAACTCAAAAACGGATAAAGGAAAAAACATTAAATTTTAAACTTAAGGTTTATTTCGGCCTGACGTGAAATGATCAGATTTTGGACAAAGTCGGAACATCTGGGGGGGGGGTACTTTATGGGAGGCCGTTTTTATATTTTATGGAATATATCTGTTATTTATGTTTGGAGAGGAAAATTGTTCAAATAAAAGTTACTTCTAATATTATTATCTGTAATTTTTGTTTTATGTAAAAATTTCCTGAAATGGTCCGTATTCGAGAAATTTGACAAAATGTGCAAAATTCTGATTTTTATTATGAAAGTTTTTGAAATAAAAGTTGTTTGCGATATCGATCTCTATAATTTTTGTTTCTACATGATTTTTCTAAAATGGACCGTAATGAAAAAATTGTAGGAAATTAAAATTTTTCAGTATTTTCGTTTTCCATGAATATCTATAGAAAAATGTTTCGAGGTAGATGTATGTGGACAATGTATATATTTAGTTTATCCTCTAAACATTTATATAACTAGATAGGAAAGTCATGTGTTGGACACATCAGATTTTTAGGAATAAAAAAGGCTATATTGAACTCGTGGTTGAAAATGTTTCTGTACATAGTGAGATTAGCAAACAGTTTTCCTTGATTTTCGTATTCTTCTTTATAATCTCGATGTAACAGAGTAATTGTCTTACTTCCGTCTATATAAAGTTTTTCAGAATGTGCTCGTGTATAATGACTCTCAATAGTAGGGATTGACGAAATGTGGAATTGAACACCGTCTTTAATGTCCTTGAAAACTTCTTTATGGTTAAAATATTTTCCTCTGTTATCTTCGGCTATAGTAGAATCTTTAATTTTCATCTTTATTGTTCGGATACATCGCCCATTAATGCCTAGTGCAGCTATGAAAAAACTTACAAATGGATTTTTAATTCTGCCTACGGCATTATGTGGGTATCTGTATGCAGGATTAACTTCTTGAATAAGCGATAAAATATAGGTACGTTGTTTTACAATATCACCCATGACCCAGAATTTTTTAAATTGGGCCAACCTTTCTTCTTCTGTGAATTTGGTACTGCATTTTTGTTTGCACTTAGAATCATCACACGGTGGTTTCATTTGTCGTTCTGGAACTATTAATCCCTTTTCTAAAGTGTTTCTTAGGCGATTGGTAGTGAACTTTTTCCATTGGAATGGATCTACTTTTCTTTTTCTGGTTCTTTTTTTGTAGTATCAGCCTCGTCTAGCAAATTTACGGTATTAGCCATTTCACTTTCATTATCGTCATCAGATGATTGTGAATTTGATGATGATGATGATGAGTCTGAACTTGATGATGATGATGATGATGAAGATAGGTCGTTGGCATAATTCGGATCTTTGACTGAATCATCTGATGAAAAGGGTTCTTCGTCATCGCAAGAATAACGTCTTGATAAAGGTTTTTCATTTCTGTCATTCAGCAAGGTATTATCGAAAATATCACTTTGAGTATTATTGTCCATATCGTCATTAGCACTTAGAATAGTTTGTTGTTCTTTTTTGTTAGATACATCATCCAAAAGAATAAAAGAAGATATCTTATTTATTATTCTATGCATCGCAACCTATCTATATTTATTGTTAAATCATTTACCTTCACCTTCCATCATGCCGTTGGAAGCTGGTTTCTCATGATCTATAATTATTGATCCGTTGCCATTTTGCAAAAAGATACCCACCCAGTGATATAATAATATTACTAAGTAAATTAAAAATAATTACCACAATCGGACTTGTTAAAATTTAATTGGGGGTTCGAGATTTCACTAAGACTGCGAACTTTCCAATGTGGGTCTTGGCTTTGTTGCTCGATTTGTTTTAACCTATAAAATTTTCATTGTAAATATTCAATATCTTTACATAAATATTTCCTTAAATTAACATTACCTTATTACAATCATTGACAGTATCTTCTCCCCGCTGCTACCTTTTTTAATCAAATTACTATCCATATTGTATGAAACCAAAAATTATGCACAGTAATAGTCTATACCGGCACAGCTAATAAAAATCAATTGAAAGTTCAGTCAGTATCGGCATAATCAAATATATCATCACAACGTATCAACTATACTGGCACATTTAACTAAAATAACCGAAACACAAAATGTGCCATTAATGCTGAAACAAGTGCGTCACTATTGCTCAAACATAACGAAGCGTCCCTAAGCACAGCCGGTGTTGATGGAACTTAAGAATCTCAGCTCGCGGTAGCGCGTAATGGCACAAGCGCCATCTCGAAGAGATTATTTGACCTAATTTTATGCCAATATTGTTGGATGAAATTTCATCAAATTTTAAATTGTTTCACATATTTTAACGTGTTTTGTGATTTTCTTAGATGTGCCATTATTGTCGCCGGTGAGCGATATGTCACAAAATACATCAAACAAAAGTTTCCTTCCGGAAAACAACTACTTCTTTGTCTAATACCGCAAGAGCCATTGCAATATAACCAGTACAAAACAGCAGAGATAGAATAGTAAATTCTGTAACAAGGGTGGGACGAGTAACATACTGAACTTTCTACACGGTCACATACACAGTAGAAGATGAAAGTTGAATATAGTAAAATTAAATTTTGAACAAAATGAAATATTTTATCTTACTTACGTTGGGCAAGTTTTTATTTAAATTATTTGCATAATTTGTCACTTCAGGTGGAAAATTATCAAATTCTATACAAGAACGCCCTTATCGTTATTCAGGCAAATTCAAACTAAATACTAATACGTTGCGTAGAACTATCAGTCATGAAATGCATGACTATCTACCATGCGGGCGTGGTATTCACAGCCATTGGCCAGTAGCTATTACATAATGAGCATTCTGTCTCTAGAGTTAGAAATAAATACGTGTAAAAAACAAAGGAATTTCAGAATTTCTGAATTTTCTTTCGATCTCAAGAGCGAGAATGTTTTCTTCCTGTTATTATAAGTGGTTTCGAAAATACTACATTCAGTAATGGCCGCGAAGAAAATTATTTTCAATGCTCTAACTTAGATTTTGCTTCCTAAAAATAATGTTATTCTTGGATAGGTGTCGTCCTTATTAAGATAGCAAGGAATATACATTCTTGTTTACAATCCCTAATAGACTCTGTAGATGCATTAAATCTATTCGTACACATGGATAAAGGTTGAGAGACGGTAATAAGTCATAAAGTAAAGCCATCTACCCCAGAGTAAACAAAATTAAAGCTCGCTCGTAGTACTTAGAAAACTACGCAGGGTGGAGATGGAATTATTTTCTGTTTTAAAAATTTCCCCCAAAATCAAAGTGACTTTGTTCCGGACACCAAAATTCTCAAGAGTATTTATACTCTATCAAACCAGCTTTGAGTCAACTTGGTTTGGAGCTTAGGGCCTTAAATGCTATCGACTGAGTATTTTAAATTTTATGAGATACTCAGCGTGATGAAAACAGCGTACATATACAATCAGATTAAGATACAAGGTACACACGTGCAACAATAAATGTATAACTCATCATATCTATTTATTTTAGGAAAATGGAGGGAGGGTACAAAGAAGTACCTGCAAATGAATCCCAAGCTGTGTCATTCGTATCTACAAAGGACAATGTCACCGTTCAAACAATGCAACATGGTACCTCGACTAACAGAACATTTTTATATATGGCAGCTTGTATAGGTAAGCTATTATGTCAACTTGTCTTTTGATCATTATTTCATCTAAAATTGCTCTAAACTTCTGATTATTCTTACCAGCTTATTTTACCTTTCTTCCAAATTACTGACAATTATTCTGTTAGGTTAGGTACCTACCCAAAAAATGACAATTGACCTGGAGCTCTATTTTCTTTTTTGCTTATTGAAAACTTGATTTGTATTCCACAGCATTTTGTATATTATAGCTCTAGTAAAGCTTTAGTAGATCTGCTATTACACTCTGTTGCCTATTCTTGAATCTAAGGGAGTAGAAAAATTGATTTTCCCTACACCGAAAGTAGTAAAACCGGACTGCAGAAAATTCTTTAAAAGGGATTTTTTAATAATAATAAAATAATAATAATAATAATAATAATAATAATAATAATAATAATAATAATAATAATAATAATAATAATAATAATAATAATAATTAATAATAATAATAATAATAATAATAATAATAATAATAATAATAATAATAATAATAATAATAATAATAATAATAATAATAATAATAATAATAATAATAATAATAATAATAATAATAATAATAATAATAATAATAATAATAATAATAATAATAATAATAATAATAATAATAATAATAATAATAATAATAATAATAATAATAATAATAATAATAATAATAATAATAATAATAATAATAATAATAATAATAATAATAATAATAATAATAATAATAATAATAATAATAATAATAATAATAATAATAATAATAATAATAATAATAATAATAATAATAATAATAATAATAATAATAATAATAATAATAATAATAATAATAATTATAATAATAATACTCTCCCTAATAATTCACCCCCTTACCAGTGAATTTCAACCCCTGAAGTCGACTGAACGACTTGTGTATTATTGACGTCTAGAAGCATATATTTCATAGCCAAACAAAAGAAAAAATTCATCGTTAAGTAACTTTACTTTAAATTTGACAGGTCACACGATAACTCCCAGCACCCGGACATGGTACATGTTGTGCACTTCCTTCCTTGTACTCAACTACAAATAGCAAGTAAAAAAAACGACGTGCCACTTTTGCAGTCAGATGAAGGATTATTGGCCACAGACATGCTATGAGATCTACAAATTTTGCTTCCCCTATATATTTTCCGTCCTCTATATATTGTTTATTTATCATTACACCTCAAATATCCCAAGGGTGTAAAGGTACAATATATTACTTATTTTAAATTTATCAATAATGTTATGCAAATGTGATCTTGTCAACCACTCTTTTAGACTGTCTTTCTTCTTCTGTACGTATTATTTCAGTTTTTGTCTCTCAAGACTTTCTATGATCGGCTCTACTTTTAGCTGCTTTCAGTGTCTATATTCAATGTCTTTTTCATCTAGGTTAATTTTTATTTTTTATTGCTTTTCCCTATTGTCATGACTTTACTTTTATCTGCGTTAATTTTCACGTTTCTCTTTTTCAAAACTACTTCCCAAATATTTCTTACATATTTCTTACACATTTCTTACACATTTCTTACACATTTCTTACATATTTCTTACATATTTCTTACATATTTCTTAGATATTTCTTACATATTTCTTACATATTTCTTACATATTTCTTACATATTTCTTACATATTTCTTACATATTTCTTACATATTTCTTACATATTTCTTACATATTTCTTACATATTTCTTACATATTTCTTACATATTTCTTACATATTTCTTACATATTTCTTACATATTTCTTACATATTTCTTACATATTTCTTACATATTTCTTACATATTTCTTACATATTTCTTACATATTTCTTACATATTTCTTACATATTTCTTACATATTTCTTACATATTTCTTACATATTTCTTACATATTTCTTACATATTTCTTGAAGTTTATTTGGTTTCCCGTTGATTTCATTTGACATCGTCGAGTACTTTATTGAATAGTCTAGGACTAAGTACAATTCCTTGTAGTAATTCTTCCTTGGTCACAAATTATTTTGATTGCATAATATTTGTCCCCACATAGTTTCTGGTGTTATTTAATGTGCTGCCAATTGATTTTCTCAGTTTACTATATTTTTTAAGGCTTTTTTATATCAAATATCGTGGTAAATAGTTAATAGCTTTCTCGATATCTATAAACACTATCTAAATATTACATAGTGGTATTGTATATTATTTTTAACACGCTTATACAGGGTGCCCTGTAATGAATTTAATATTTCGAATCATTCTGACACCGGCCCTCCACTAAGTAGGAGGATGGGGGATTGTAGACAGATAACGTAACCATGCGGATTTCAGTTACGATAGCACCGTGGCCTGCAGAACAACGAGCGTTCATGATTGAATCATTTTTTAAATCAAACTATTGGTACGTTGTGGCGCGTCGACGTTTTTGTGCACGTTTTGATATTCGACGCATAGCCGATGCACCGTCGGCAGCTTTAGTGCACAGTTGGGTTAGACCCTACCACAGTTCCCTGGCTATGATAACAACGGCACGTGGTTTCAACATGATGGCGCCATGGCACATACTGCAGCGATATCCATAAATGCAGTGACTGAAGTGTTTCCTGGCACGGTAATTTCCATCAATGGCGATATTCCATTTCCTCCACGCTCACAAGACCTAACGCCCCTAAATTTTTTCCTATGGGGCTACTTAAGTGTCGTCTACACGGAACCAATGCCACAAACCATCCAGCAGCTAAAGGACCGCATCACCAATGCTATACGTGACATACCCATGGCGATGTGTCAGAACGTTTTCCGCAGTTTACGCTCCAGATCAACAGCTTGCTACGAAGAAGACGGTCGGCATTTAAACGATATTCTGTTTAAACACTAAATCCGCATATTTACTCTATCTAATAATGCTAATAAACCTGGTATATCATGTTCTGGGGGTAAATTTTATTGCGTTAAACCCTTAAATTCATTACCGGACACCATGTATTAGCTTCACCTGTATGTATGTATGTATGTATGTATGTATGTATGTTTGTAACTCTCCTTTGGACTCAAGTGGCTTATTACTGTCAGTATATCCTACTAAGTCAAGTTCGTTCATGGCCGAGCGGTCTAACGCACGGGTTTTCGATTGCCAGACTCACCGATCGTGGGTTCTAATCCCCACGGCAGAAAAAAAATATTTTTTTTTTCAGCATTTTTTTTTTTTTTAATAATTAATCGAACTAAAAAGTGAAAAATAAATATAGTTTAAAAAAACTAAAAAACACGCTTTTAGAGCATATAAAACTAAAAAGTTAAAAATAATTTTTCAAATAAGCTTAAAACAATAATAAATGGAAAATACTAGTATTATTGTGAAAAAAGCGTCGGGCGCTCGATGTACGAGAAATATGACAAAGCGCCCCACCCTTTTTTCACAATATTTTTCCGCTTTGTGACATAACACTGGATACTATTACAGAAGTAAAAGAATTGGGTGTGATTACATTCCACCCTTTCTTTTCAAACTCATATAACGGCCTCAGTTAATAAAGCATTAGGAATGTTGGGTTTCCTTAGAACTACTTTTGATTTTCATAGTGTGATGTGTTTAAAGATTCTTTATTGTGCCTTAGTTAGACCTTATATTGAATATGCTTCTTCTGTATGGAATCCTTTTTATGTATATCAAATCCATAATATAGAACAGGTTCAAAGAAAATTTGTACGCATTGTTGCATTTAAATCGGGTATCGTCCCGGTCAACTTCAGATACAATTATGACGAATTACATACACTTTGTCATCTTGAGACCCTTCTGAGCAGAAGAAACCAAAGAGATCTTAAAATATTGTTTAACATTATTAACTCATCTGCCGATTGTCCCTACTTGTTATCCCAAATTAGATTTTCTGTACCCTCTAGAGTAACTAGGAATATTAATACATTCTCCCAACCTTTCCATAGAACAAATGATGGTTCTCACTCTTTTATTCCTAGAGTGACAAGATCTGCTAACAGACTAAATGTAGAATGGACAACTTCTCCATCAGATTTTTTTAACCATTTATGTATATGTGAAGAGTAGATTTTTAATTGTTTTTAATATTTATGTATTTAAATTAATTTATTATTATTTAGGATTTTATTACTATTTAATGTATGTAATATGTATTATCTGTAATTGTATTGTTTTAATGGGCTCTGACCCGCAAATAAATAAATAAATAAAAATAAAATAATTCCCATCCCATTAACAACAAATTTTTAAAGTTGAATTTCAGTCATTATTTTTAGTCTTTTTTAACAGTTCTTTCATTTATATCTTAGGTAAGGTTGTAAATGAGTGGGATGATCTTGCCACCTCTGTTGTTATTTTATCGTTTCCGCTTGCCCTTCCTCTTATTGCCATCTTTAGCAAGCATACTTGTTGAACTTCATTTAGAAGTAAAAATACATTTAATGATTTTTTTATTTCAGCAAACTTGTCCTCATTCGTCTGCGGCACATCCCTAGGTTGGACATCTCCAGAAATCCCACTACTGAAAAACTTGACAGTCAGTCCATTGGACCATGTAATGACAGGTTCCGAAGAAGGCTGGGTAGGTTCCTTTTTACCACTGGCAGCAGCAATTGGACCTCTAGGAGCAGCAATTCTAGCAGACAAATTAGGCAGAAAGAAATCTCTACTAGTCGGAGTTATACCTTTCATCGTTGCTTACAGTATTAATATTTTTGCCGCCAATGTGCCTTTATTATATCTAAGCAGGTTCTTGTGCGGGTTGGGTGTTGGGATAATATTTACTGTAGTACCTATGTATGTTGGGGAAATAGCTGATGATGAAGTTAGAGGAGCGTTAGGATCATTTATGCAACTATTTATTGTCATAGGCTTGCTATTTTCCTACGCGCTAGGACCGTATTTACCTATTAAAACCTTTAATATAATTTTGATATCTCCACCAGTCATATTTTTCGTACTGTTCTTTTTCTTCATACCTGATACTCCGTACTATCTAGTGAAAAGCGCAAAACACGAAGAAGCTTTGGAAGCTTTAATTCGCCTTAGAGGAAATTTAAAAACTTTGGCCCAAAAAGAACTAGAAGTCGTCAAAGTCCAAGTAGAAATAGATGTGAACAACAAAGCTTCGTTTATGGATATATTCAAAACTAAATCTACAAAGATGGCGCTATTTCTGGCTCTCAACTTAGTAGCCTGGCAGCAGCTTTCCGGTATTAATATAGTATTATTTTACACTCAGGGAATCTTTACTGATGCTGGCGTACCTCTAGCACCAGAAATTTGTACCATTATCACTGGCGTTGTCCAAATAGCATCTAGTGCTTTAACTCCTCTGCTAGTTGAACGATTGGGTAAAAGATTCTTGTTAATACAATCTGCTATAGGTATGGGCATAGCTCAAGGAGTTCTGGCTTTCTTCTTCTATTTGAAAGACGACAAAGGTTCTGATGTCTCCAGCATCGGTTGGCTTCCTATTTTATGTTTAGTAGTATTTATTATAACCTATTGCTTGGGTTTTGGACCACTACCATGGGCAGTGATGGGTGAATTATTTCCTGGTAACGTAAAATCAGCTGCTTCCTCTGCTACTGCTTCAATATGTTGGGTTTTCGGATTCTTTATTACAAACTATTTTGGTATACTTTCGAATTTGGTGGGAAAATCTGGTTCGTTCGGACTGTTCTCTGTTTTTTGCTTCTTTTCGTTCGGATTCGTCTTCAAATTTGTACCTGAAACTTCTGGAAAGAGTTTTAGTGAAATTCAAGAAATTTTGGGAGGAGGAAGGAAATAAATTCATTTTGAATATAATAGAGTGACGATAAGATTCTTATGTAATATATGTATTTGGAGCATTGTTATTTGAGATATTTATTATATAATTACAAGTTTACCTACGTAATCTTTTATCAGAAATGCGTGATACAAGTTGCACGGTACTTATGGATTTCGAATTGTTATATTATCAAATAATGATGTTAACTAAATATTATAATGTGTCATGAGAAAGGTTTCGAGAGAGTATGACTACGCTTAAGTTATTTTTTATCTAGATACACTGATCAAAACAATTAACATAATATAATTTAATTATTGTTGCGTTTTGTAAACCCGATTTTTTATCATATTATCCTGATCTTAGTAACATATATTTTATATTCTTAATACATTATGTGCTTACATTAAACTCCCATATGACTTATTTGTACATATATAAAAAATATAATTTTAACAGTCGTTATTTTTATAAATAACTAATTGTTTTGAGCAGTGTATATTGAAATAGTACAAATAATTTAAAAGGAAAATGTTTTTGGTTTCTTCAAAACTCAGGACTATATGGTGAATGGTTGAGTAACTCCATATTTGTAAGTAGTCCTTAAAAATGTCATCGTTTTATTAGCGAGAAAACTTTTCTATGATTTTGAAGGAACCAAAATAAAGCGGTTATAACCGTAAAGTTATTATATAAATGCAGTATTTATTTTTATGTATTGTTGGTTCTGATTTGTTGTTTTATTTATGATGATGCAAATGTGTGTATTATGTAGTTCATAGAAAGAAACGACTGATAAAGATTTACTTAATTAGCAGCAAACATGTACGTTTGTAAAATTTATTTATTTTTTAAATAAAATTGGAAAGCACACTGTTGTAATTATTTTTATCACAATTATCTTGAGAAAACCCCGTTACTCTTTAAAAATATTACTAAAAGCAAAACAAAAATATATTTTAATCTGAAGAAGGGTATAGGGACCGTGCGTGAAATATAGAAGCAGCACTACTGCCGAAGTTAGCCCTCTCTAGTGTTTACTTTTAGAATTAATTGGGGTAACCAGGATATTTTTTAAAATATTAAATATAGATACCGGCCCGTAACAATCATATACATGGTCAAAATGATATAAAATATGAAAATTATTAAAATCTGGCCAGGTATATACATTTTGAGCAAAAAAATTTAAATGGCTAAGTGACAATAAATTGTAAAGTTGTACCTTAAGCAAGTGTATCCAATGTCAAAATATCGGTATTTAGTAACACTCAATTTAAAAGTATTACAATAACATTTAGAAAATGTAAATTATTAAAAAAAGATTGAGAATAATAATAATAATAATAATAATAATAATAATAATAATAATAATAATAATAATAATAATAATAATAATAATAATAATAATAATAATAATAATAATAATAATAATAATAATAATAATAATAATAATAATAATAATAATAATAATAATAATAATAATAATAATAATAATAATAATAATAATAATAATAATTCTTTTTAGCTTTATGTCAGTCATAATGTCATTCAACCACCTTTGACGTTTATGAGACACCCAATGTATGCATAATTATAGATTCCTCATCCACCTATAAAAAAGATTACGAAAAGCGTATTGATGTATTGCCTTTTCTAGTGCCGTTCTAGCCCAAATGTGTTTTAAAATAAAATTTAGCATTTTAATATTTAGAAGAAAAAAATAATTAAAGTTTTACTTCAAGACACGTTATTATGTATTTTGAAAGTTGAGTTTCCGTGTAGTTAAATAATATTAAGGGATCCAAACAATTTTTATAACAGATGAATGTAAATAATTTTAGACCACTCTAATTTCAGAAATAACACTATATGAAACACATCATTTCAATATGTAATACAACTTTTAAATTTAATGTAAACAACTTTGATATGAGATAATAAATACCTTTGTTAAGAGTTGTAATTGGACATTTATCTATTATTCTGAGTAATGTTTATGTAATGGTAATGTTACTAAAAAATTTACAATAAATCAGTGGATTTTTAATATTTTAAAGTTTGTTGCAATCTCTTTTGACAGTAATTAAAATGTATTAATTATGATTTGTTTATTTTAGTGATAAATGAGAAATAGTTAATAAATTATAAAGAGGGCCATGATATTTTTGTCAAATTGGACATTCTAATTTCACAGTAACATTCTTCATTAATTTTAATTAGCAGAATAAACCATTAATTATCTGTAAAATTATATTTATATAAAATGTTTATTTAAATATGTAAAAATCTTAATGACAAGAAAACACTAAAGGCTCTAATTTCTAAACCGGTTCTCTAAATGATTTTTTTATAATTAAGTGCTCAAAATTGATTATAGATAAAAAAAAAATTTGTCCAATGAAATACGCTTTTCGTCGTCTGATTTACGTATGGATAAGCAATATATGTAATTATGTATATCATTGGGTGTGAGACATTAATTGTTGTGCTCTGTGGAAATTTATAAAATTTCTTTACTATCGAATGAAATCCAGGTTTCCAAAGTGATGTGTTTGTACATCCACGAATGCAACAAGTTTTTTCGATAATGATATTACGAAAATAATTCGACTTTATTTAATTAATAATTACTAAACAATTAATGCCGTATAAAACATTAAGTTCACATTTTTGTCACCAGTTGGCGTTACAGTCATGACGCACGGTCCCTATTCAACCAAATGATTTTTCAGAGTGAGCAAGGTAAATATTTTAAAATTAATCAAATGCAATATTTGCCTATTACGTATTTAAAATCTCATTTTATTAAAATATTGATGAATAATTTGTTTAAATAACGAAAACTGTTAGTGGTTTTCTCGCAACAGAGAAAATATATTTACTGATGATGCCTTGGGTCGAAAAGTTTCTCGGGCGCCAGTTCTATTTACCTTGTTTGCTCCTAAATCCTTAGATTTAGCTATAAAAACACTTGAGTTAACTTAAATTTAAATAAGGTAGATATAATAGGCTTCAATTGTAATATCTAAAGTAAAATATTTTCGGGTTGCTGAAATAATTTAGAATTGGGTTTGATATTCGGTACAATAACCACAATTATAAGCTAAAGCAGGGGCAGTTTCTCCATTGGTTCATTTGTGCAGTGAACACCCAGTTAAATTTCATAAAAACACATTATTTTAATATTACATACATAACATAAAAATATAAATTTAATTTTAATATTTTTATTTTCATACGTGTTAATCTATATTTTTTTGTACATCATTGTCCTCTGGCTAATCGCGTCTCTGTGTCACAGTATACCTAAGTATACTGTGTCTGTGGCGCATTATGATGACTGAGCCTAACACGAGTCAGACGATATGCCGAATGCATATAGCTAAAAAGAGAAGACAATACGCTAACAGATCCTTCAAACTGTCAAAGAACACATTAATTGGCGCGCTGCTCACAAACAAGGTTGCCAAACCAGTGTTGCCAGTCTAGTACAATTCACAATTGTACTAGATGGAGTACTTTCTGCGTGCATCAGTGTTCACGTGTAAACTATATATATTGTGTTCCTTGTTTGGGTTCGTTATCAATAAAGACCCCTTTTTCCCTTTCAATGAATTAGATGTCACTGCAAATAGAATTCGAAAAATCTGATACATTTAAGGAATTTTTAGACAAATCTGGTACATAACAAAAACATATTCTGGCAACACTGTACCAAATCAAACAAACTGTCACTGTCATTAGTGTCATTCCTCTGCTATTAAATACTTTAAATAAAAACATAAGAATATTTTAATTGTGCTGATTTAAAAAAATGTGCTTAATTAAGAACTGTGTCTTCAATAAATTGAAGGTATGTGTGCCAATTCAACGATTGTTCCCGAAAAACTTCTATAAGGCAAGGTAAATTAAAATTTTTAAGGTTATGTTGATTTTTTTACCTATCATAAAGTTTTACGACTGTAATTTGTTTTATATTTTGTTTCAGTGTCTAAGACCATCTAAAGACTACTTCAAAATGGTCTATTTTGTACTCAATTGTAAATACTATGAAGTAAGAAGTAAGAAAAAAATTTGAACATTTTTTTTTCACAAAATCCGCTAAAAGGAAAGATTTAATTAATCTGATGAGGTAACTAGACATCATTATGGAAATATACAATAAAAATTTGATAAAGATAAAGAGATAAATTGTTTTTCACTTTAAAAGTCTGAATCAGAAAAAAGGATCAACCAGTTAATTTAATATACTCGATGAAAAATTTTACCTAAGAAATGGTATGTACATTTAAATAGTTCTATATAAAGTTATGTTTGCTTGCAATTATCAATCGTGTTGCCCTTTAACCTAGATCGTTTGTTGCCTACAAACCAGAAATCTTTTATTTTAATGACATTTTTTTTATTTCCTTGTTTGTATAATTTAGTATTTTCAAAAATATTAGATGTTATATTAATTTGGATCACTGCAGGTATTAAATAAAAATAAGGCTGTTGGTAAATTAGTTTACAGCTGGTAATAAAGTATGTCTCGAAAAAAGCAATAAGTATCAAACATAAATTGTGATTTTGATTAGGCACTTAACAAGTCACATCCCACATATTTACATGATCTGGTTAAACAATCCTATAAGTAAATATCAAAACATTAATATACTATCTATTATTAAACAATAATTTGAAAATACAGATGAAGCCGATTTACCTATTTAGATAAAATACTATTATTCTGTTATTTATTAAAACACACTATTTTTTAGTGAACATCGACATGCAAAAGTTTGCCATAAGGGTATAGGACAGAGTGAGAGCAAGAATACTTTGGAATGTGCTGTGAAATACACTTAGAAAGGGTCATATGGAGAATTAAGTGTGATAACATTTTACGATGTGTATCTCACTAGTTTAGTTCATAGATGTATGTAAATGTTCAATTAAGTGCTGCTATTTCAAACTTTTAGTATCATTTGATAAAAGAAGTTGAATATTATTGTTGACCTTTTTAAATTGTTTATTTTACCTCATACATTTTTTTTCTACTCTTCATACAGTATTCTGTGAAGAGTATTATAGGTTTACTTTGTCTGCCTGTCCGATGTCACGTTTTTTGTCTGCACGATAAGTCAAAAACGAGAAATGATATGAACTTGAAAATTTTAAGCAAAAATCAAGCTCTATAAAGGGACAAAGCCTATTGATTTTTAACAAATCTGATTAAAAATAGGGGGTTAAGATGGGTTAAAATTAAAAAAAAAATCCTAAATTAAAAACGAAAAGCGATATCAATATGAAATTTGTATTTAAAATCAAGGTCTATAAGGAGATGAGGCCTATTAATTGTGAAAACAATCTGCTTAAAAACAGGGGGTTAAGGAGTCTGTGAAACTGCGAAGAGTATCATTTAAAATGCCAGGCATTATATATATTTATTCTAGTTTGTGTCTGTGTAATATTATGTATTGTGATGGGACTGATCTTATAAAATAAACATTTAAAACATTTTAGTTTTTATTTTATTTGCCAATAAAAAGTATTTAAAAAATATATTTTTTATTTGACATCTGTGACAAATTGTGAAAATGATTAAACTTACAATAAAAACTAAAAAATGGTAGGTAAAGTTTCATATAAAATTTTTTACACAAAAATCAATGTCAAGCTTTCTACATAACCTGATATATATTTAAAAATAATCTCAAATTATGAAGAAAAGTCAGTTTAATAACTAATAATGTTTATAGATGGTTTTCAACGTATTAAAAACAAAATAAATATCACACTAACTAAAATATTCATTTATTAATAGTTGTAGTGCTTGAAAACAGTATGATGTTGATAATAATAACTACACTTAATACAAACTCAAATT